TGCTGCTGGTGGTGGGTGCTGTGCAACTCGGCATGAAGGACCTCGTGTGCTGTGAAATGGGGCTGGGGTAGTGCTGCCGGTGTGCAGTGCCGCCTGCGCCAGAGCCTGCCTTCGAGTGTGCAGGAGGTGACGTGGGCAGGCTGGGAGCGAGCGTGTTTGCGAGGCCCAGTTCTGCACTGGCAGGCCCGGACTCCGCCGTCTCTGAAGCCAGCAGAGGGGTGGAGAGAAGGATAAGGTGCAGTTGGAGCCCTGTGAAGAGCCCAGGAGAGCTTCACAAAGTACAGCGGACCCGAGAGCCACGGGGCAGTGGCTGGGAACACCGCCATGACCAGGTGGCCAAGAAGTGGAGCAATCTGGGCAAGGCCTTGCTGCTCTCCAGAGCCCTTTGACTCCTGGGCCACACCGGATCGAAAAGCTGTAAGAAACAGATCCCAGCCCTTGTCAGAGCAGGAAAGCAATGTTTTTTTTATTTCCCCAGTCCAACAGATGAAGAAGGCTATTAGATATTGATTAACCCTGTTCTGTCCAGCATGGCCCTTTGCTGCGTTGTGAGACAAATGCTTTCAGCCCCTGCTTCTTCCGAGGCAGCCTTCTGGCTCTTCTCGGCAGGTATGGAAAGGCAGCTATCTAGAACTTGTTTTTTCTGCCCTTGGACTGTAGCAGGCCTGTGAAAGGTGTGCAAGCCCACTTGAGAAAGCTTTGCTTTTCTCAAGCTTGTTATACGGCAAACTATAAATTACCAAATGGAATTGAGGTCACCTGGAAGAGACGCAGACCATCCCTTTTTGTAAGTAAAGAGCCTTTGTGTACAACCCCCACGTTGTTGTTCCAGTGACAGGGGATGCCCAGCAGTGATTAGCAGTTTCTGTTTCCTTATCCTTAGCAACTTCGGGTGGTGCTCGGAGCCATTACCATTGCTCTGTGCTGAGAATGGTCTTTCTGAAATCAGGACAGAGGTGAAGAGATACGAAATAGTTAAAATTGCTCCCCTTGACATACAAATGCTAATTAAGGTGATAATTCAGTCTGCTGCTCTGATGTATCAGGAGATAGCTATTTTAAATGCTTTTCTTGGTGGGAAGCTTACCACAGCTGACTGGGCAATTAATTTTTAGACTTGAAAGGATGGTAGTAGCCAGCGGCCTGTTGGCATTGTTCTTGGGTAAATATTTGCTTTAGCTGTGATATCGGCACACCACCATGCCTTTGGCCCCTCCGCTCTGCTCCGGTTTGCTGAACTGCTGTAGGAGCTTTGGCAGAGGTTTTGAAATCCAGTATCTTACATGGCTGTACCTCAGGGAACGTGGACTGGCCTCTTCACGATGGAAACGTTTGCTGGACTTGTAAATGCTTGCTTACCTAGAGAAAAACTTGCTTTCTGGGCTTGGCTTGAGTCCATAAGCACACTCTTAGGTCTCTGCAGCGCTCGAGCCATAAGTTCCACATACATTTTTGAAAGGTGTTACTGATTTATACAGCTCCTGATGCATTTTCTTACCCTCTCTGTCCCATCTGTCACACTGCACTTGCAGCTGTGCATTAAACTAGCTCAGAAGACCAGTCTGGCTGAAAAGTACAGAGACTACTTGAATACCAGCTCTGATCAGCATCTAAACTCTCACTTGGACCTCCCGTGTTCAAGTCCTGTAGCTGGAGAACGTGCTTGCTTTGGCTTACATCAGCTATCCCTCAGGTAGTTCAACCCCAGCTTAAACTTACCTTTGTTTAGTTTTCCGCACTGAAATACCTCCAGCCTGGCAGAGAAGATTTGCAGTTTATAACTTTGACCTTTATTCAAAACCAATCTTCTCTTAATTGCTCAAAATAAAATATAACAGTGCAGAGACAACAACATTACGGTAATATAGGAGTAGTGGTGTGATAGGACTTGTGGCCTCAGATCCCTAGTAGATTTCTTTTCCCAAACCCTTGTCTAGAAAGCTTTGCCTCTGTGATCTCTTGGGTATCCTGATGTGTTTGGACAACTCAGCCTGGACTTTTTTTTCCTGTCTCCCTGCAAGCTCACCTCCCTGGAAACAGTAGAGGAGTCTTTCTTTGGCCTTCACCTGAAAACCTTCAAGCTGAGAACAGGAAAATCAGTCATAAACCTACCCTTCACTGCCTTAAGCCGATAGAAAGACCGGCTTAGAACGAAAGTATTTAACTCTCCGGAGTGCTGCAGCTTAGGTAAATGCCCGCAGGATCAGCATTGATTGCAGCAGTAGTATATTAGAGCCCAGTGACCTGCTTAAGTGTTTGCAGGATTGGAACCTAAATACCCCAAACGCTGTAAGCTGCTTGGTGAAAAGCTCAGCAGAAAGAAGGTGCCGTCATCATGTCCAGAGCAGCAGCTCTTTAAAATAGATCGCCGAGCTCCTGCAGGCCTCGATACCAAAACCACGCTGGACCAGGTAAACTGCAGAGGGACACGCTCCTGTGCAGAGTGTGTTTCTCTCTTCCCTCTGCCCCTGCATTGCCAGGAAGGCATCGGGAGAGGTTTTCCAAAGCAGCATTGCACGCTGCCTGAACCTGCAGTAGGTTTTTGCCCCGACAGAACCCTCAGGGTGTCCTGCTCAGGTTGGCTTCCCAGGTCGCTCCCTCCTTGCTGGCTGCAGCCCATGGCCCTTTCTGGAGGGTGTGTGTTGCTGGCATTACTGACTCATCCTCCTTCCTAAGTTGATCCTGTACTTAACCAGAGTGGTAATTAAGACTTGTTAGTGGTCTAGAAAATGCGAAGCACATCTTCCATTTTTAAACTGCCTGAGGTGGCTCTGCCTCCTGTGTTTGCTGCCCTTTTTTCTGCAGAGCCTGTCAAGAGGAGAAACGGAGGCTTTTTATTTGGAAATACTGGACTGGTGGGAAGAGCAGTTAAGTCTGAAGAGGGCAAATGATGTTTGGGGCTCCATGAGATGCAATCTACATATACAATAGTGCAAAGTATGTTTATGTACTGAGTAAACTGGGTCTAAAGGGACTCAAAACAGGGACAGAGTGGAGGGCGAAGATGATTTTGTGAGTTCTGCTGATCACGTTAACATTAGGGCTTCCTTAACCCGCTGGGCCCTGCTGCCTTCAGATGTGCTGTATCTGTTACCACACGGAGGCCCGGGGGTGGCTCCAGGCTGCCTGCATTACCTGGGGCAGGATCCAGCCCCAGGACAGCATTCCGAAGTTGGGAAAGGTTGTTATCTTCTGGTGAGGTGGCCTTCCCCAGGCTGCAAAGCTTTGTAAAGCTGCTATCTGCTCATTAGCTGTGAGAGCCGTCTGGCTGTGTGTTTTTCCTTTAGCAATCAAGACTAAATCCTGCCCCAGAGGAGATAAACCCAATCTACCTTGTGTTGGATGCTTTGTCCCTCACCGAGCTCAGGGATCTGGGCCAATGCTGGTGTGATGCTGTGAGTCAGGATGCTCAGAGCTGCATGGAGTCGTCGTCTTTAGTAATCCTGCCTTCAGGAGGGGGCTGTTACAGCTGTAGCCCTCTGCCAGCCAGGGTGAAAAACCACCATACCACTTCTCTTGCACTACCTACAAGCCTGCAAAGCCTGGATGTGGGACTGGGCAGAGGCTATGGCCAAAAAGAGAATAACAGGTTTCTTTTTATAGCATAGTCTTGTTTGTCCTTGACATTAAGAGAGCTTCTCCGTCTTCAGGAAGTTCTGCCAACAGGGCGGAGGCAGGTGGTTTGTTGAGCGGCTGCTGGGGAGTGGGGTACAGAGCTTCTGGGGGGGGCAGGTTTCGTGCTTGACAGCAAGGGAAGGGGCCTTCGCATCGGAGCTTGTCAGCTGTGACACTGGGAAGAAAGTGTCCTCTGTGATTTCCTGGAAAACAGCATTTGGCTACAACATCTCTCTTCAAGTGAGGCAGAGTTTGTTAGGGCAGCCAACGTTGCAGGAAAAGCAGATTAGTTTTCATGTACAAGAGCCCTTCCAGGAGGTTGGAAGAGGCTCCGTATTCATGCTTTGGGCAATTGCCTGGGTCTGGCTGAGGTTCCCTGGAGGGGACTGACCACCTACGTGATCCCACCTGTGGGCTGTGAAGAGATGGCATTTGGCCAGAGCTTATGAGTTTAAGTCTTCTGTTTCCTGGGGCCTTTCTGGTGTGGGCACATAAGGCAAGCAGGGCGATTTCTACATGTTAATGACTTGGAGGGAGGCAGTTACCTTCATCCACAGTGAACTGAGGCTCTTTGCCCACTCTGCAATGTAAAATGCGGTGCCAGATCATGGAGCATAAAGGAGTTGTGGTTTTTTTTTCTTTCCCCTGGATAATTCTTTTAGCACTGCTTGTACCTTTCTCCAGTGGTTTAAAGACAAGGTTTCCCTTGAGGTTTTCTCTCTAGCCATGTTGGTGCATGTCCCTGCCCAGTTCTCAAGTCTAACTCTTAGCTTCTTTTTTCTCCCTTCAGCTCATGGTGGTCCCATGTGGAGATGGGTCCCCCCGACCCCATCCTGGGGGTGACAGAAGCTTTCAAGCGCGACACCAATTCCAAGAAGATGAACCTGGGTGTGGGGGCGTACCGGGATGACAACGGGAAGCCGTATGTCCTGAACTGTGTTCGCAAGGTGAGCCTGGTGCTGGCTGCTGGGCAGGGCCAGATCCAGGTGTTGGGTGCCCTGGGGGGGGTCAGGGAGGGGGAAAGCCTCTAGGCAGGGTTTGTCTGTTGGTCCTTAGAATAAGCTTTGTCTCTAACAGAGCAGGAAAGTGTTCCTGGATGTCTCCCTTAGCAGTACTAATGCGTTTGAGACACAACAGAGCTGTTAAATAGTAGGGCATAAAACAAGAAATACGGGTCCTGTTTGCATCCAGGTAAATCTAATTCAATGCTGACTTCCATGAGCCCTCCAACCCAGCTGTCCTCTGAAATTCAAGGTGTTTCTTGAATAGGCTGATGTTCCCTGGGCCAGCCCACGTGGGAGGAAGGAGCTGACATTGTCCCCTTAATGGATTAATCTTAGAAATTCTGCTGAGCCGTTGTTACCAGTTTCTCCGTAAGCCAGTCTAAAACTCCCGCCCAGGAAGCTGGATGTGGACACTGCCCTTGAGGGGATTACAGAGCCTTTCAGGGCTGTAAGCATAGAAATAGGCTGTTAAACAGGCGGCAGCTGCCATGCACATTGACTGGCTGGTCTCCTTGGCGCAGGGACGATGCATTGTCCATGTTTCTCATCAGTGGGGGGTTTAAAGCCATTCCTTGCCCTTGCGCTCCCTGTGTCAGCATGTATTGCAGCTGGGTCACAACTGGGTACCCGGGGCGTTGTCATAGGAATAGTTTCCTGGTGGTATATGAATGCTGCCAGGATCTATCCTGCTGCCCAGGGAGCATGGGTAGGGTGCCCAGAGTGCTCCAGATGTCTCCATCGCTGTATTTTTGCTGATCATGGCTCCTTGTCTGCTGTTTTTGCTTCCACTCTCTGCTCCTGTGTTAGGTAGGGACTTGGACTGGTTTCTGATGCTGGGTCTGATTGAAAGAAGCAAGAGATTAGCAAAACTGAGGGGTGCCATGTTTAAGGGTTGGGTGAGCTAGCTTTCAGACAGGCTGCTTTCAAAATTGGATGGGGTTTCGGGATTTTTTTTTGTTTGTTTGTTTTAACCTGCTCCATCTAGTTCAATAACACTCCCAGCATGATGAGGCCCTGCAAAGGGCTTGCTACTCTACGTGGTTTTGGGACGTCTCCCATAATAACAGTCAAGTCTCGCCTTCCTGCAGGACAGGAGAAAAGGAACATGTGTCCTTGTGCAGCAGTGTTGACTTGTAAGGGCTGGAAGTGGTGTTCTCCTCTGGCGTCGGGTTTCCTGGCTCTGCTATACCAACACTGGCACCCACTGAAGGCTCTGGTGGCCACTGGGCACTGTGCCCTGTGGTAAAAGCAGGGTTTCATCTGAAGTGTTTACTGCTGCCCCTTGCTTGCAATGAGCCCTTATCTCTGAAAGGAAACTCCTGTAAACCAGCCTTTGCCCCTTTTGAGCAAGCAAATGTGAAGAGAAGTGACCTTGAGCTGTCCACCATCCTCTCCACGGCCATGCCTTCCTTGCTGAATGTGTGTCCTCCTTCCCAGGCAGAGGCCATGATAGCATCCAAGAAGATGGACAAGGAGTACTTGCCCATTGCGGGGCTAGCGGATTTCACTCGGGCATCTGCAGAACTGGCTCTCGGTGAAAACAGTGAAGCTTTCAAGAGCGGCCGGGTAAGGAGCAGACGGAGAAGTAGGGGTGGGCAGCGCTGTCTGATGTACGGTGGGTACATGGGTGCCTAACAAAAGTGGAATAACTGGCAGGGGTACTCATGCCTCTGAGTTGCAGGTTAGCTAGGCCCAAGGATAACTGCTTCCTCTGAAGGCTGGTGTGAAACAGCCCTTCCCAAGGAGAGGGTTTGACCTTGCCAAGGGGCCCAGCTCCCAGCTCTGCAGCTGGAGTTGCTGACCCTTGTAATCCCCTCCAGCCCCACGTCCCTGTTTTGGTGTACTTCTGCCAATGCTGATGTAGTGACTGGGCTTTCCCTCTATCATACTGTGACTGCTCAGGCTTGTGTATTTGTTTCTTCCCTTGCAGTACGTCACTGTGCAGGGTATTTCTGGGACTGGATCTCTGCGAGTTGGAGCCAACTTTTTGGTGAGTCCCTGGCCGGTGCGGGAAGGAAAGGACATATTTTGACTGGAGATGAATCTTTGAGGCTTTGTAACTGCCTGAATCTGTTCAACCTGTTTGAACACTCTGTCTTTCTCTTGGTCAGCAACGGTTCTTCAAGTCTAGCCGTGATGTGTATCTACCCAAACCGTCCTGGGGCAATCACACACCCATTTTCCGTGATGCTGGCCTGCAGCTTCAGGCTTACCGCTACTATGACCCCAAGACATGCAGCCTTGACTTCTCTGGAGCCATGGATGACATTTCCGTGAGTTGCCGTCCATGCCTGAAAGCAGGGAGGTGGTGTGGGGAGATGGGTGAACTTCTTGCTTTAGCTTAAATATGATGCCTGAAGGCATCAAATCAAGGCTAGAAGCCTTGCAGACCTTGTCTAAGCTGTCTAGTGCAAAACTCTCAGCTGCTGAGGAGAGTGCTCAGATGTCATTAATAATTCATTCTCTCTAACATCTTCCTTAGAAAATTCCAGAGAAAAGCATCATCCTCTTGCATGCTTGTGCTCACAACCCCACTGGGGTGGATCCCCGGCAGGAACAATGGAAGGAGTTGGCGGCTATGGTCAAGGTGAGCAGTGGAGTGTCCCAGGGGTACTGTGCTCTTCCTGGGAAAACTACATCTCTGGCCTTTCAGGGGTGGCATCTGGTCTTCACTGCGCTAAAGGTTACTCCCGTCCCTGAAGCCAGGATGGGTGTCATGTTCCTGTACTAAAGGCAGGAGTGAGATAAATGCGCCCATAAAGCTTCTAGCTGACCATCAGACTTTCTGCTGGCACCTTCCCCGGAAGCTGGGGTAGGGAGACCTGAAAGGAGAGCAGCAGGGTTGAAAGAGTGAGCTGTGATAGCTGGGGGCGGGGGGGGGCTCCCAGCGCTAGTCCATTAAAAATGCTGGAAAATCTTTCACGTGCCTCGTGTCTCCTCGCAAGCTTCAGCTGGAAACAGATAGGGGCAGGTTCTACCTTCATCCTTTACCTCCTCCTCCCTGCTGCTTCCCCAAGCTGTAGCCAGTGAAATTTGGCTTGGGGATGCCTGGCCTTAGTAGTGTCCTGAGAATTGGTAGATACCAGAATGGCCTCTGTGGCCTACAGATGGCTGTGGGTCTCCGGACTGAGAGGTGGTGTGGCTGGGTTATGTGCCTGGGGGCATTGGAAGGGCTAGCACCTGCCTAGAGAGTTCCCAGGTGATTTTCCTGGAAACTAATAATACAGGAGACACTGAAATGGAATAATTTATGCCTGCTGAATCCACTTGTGTCTCCTGGGCCAGACTGTGCATCCCATAAGTGCACTGAGAGGGTCCTTACCTGCTGTTTTGATGTATGGTGGGTAGCTGTGGCTTTTGGGGCTGCCTTCCCTCTGGCAAACGAAGGGGAATGGCTCTGCTTCTGGAAGAGAACAGTTGCAGTGGAGCAGGCCGCTGCCTGCCCGGTTCTTTTAAGCCTACTGCCCTGCTCCCTGGAGGGGTGTTCAGCTCCTGTGACGCTCTCCTCTCTTTGCTGGCAGAAACGAAACCTCCTTGCGTACTTTGACATGGCCTACCAGGGCTTTGCCAGCGGGGACATCAACCGGGATGCCTGGGCTGTGCGGTATTTCATTGAGCAGGGCATCAACATCGTCTTGTCACAGTCCTACGCCAAGAACATGGGGCTGTATGGTGAGTAGGGCAAGTGGCGTGGAAACGATTTCATCCAAGCTGCTGGAGGGACCCCACTGCCTCCGGGGTTTAGCAGCCAGTGTCTTTCTGCTGTCTGCGTTCATCCTGCAGTACTGGTTGGGGCACAGGAGATGACCCGCTGGGAGCTGGTGGAGACCTTTGTAGAGAAAGGGGCTCCACTAAAGCTGTGTGGCATTTGGGTAAGTCCTGGGACCTGACTGCCCCTCTTTCAGGAGAGCGTGCGGGTGCCTTCACGGTGATCTGCAGTGATGCGGAGGAAGCCAAGAGGGTCGAGTCACAGCTGAAGATCCTCATCCGCCCCATGTACTCTAACCCACCCCTGAATGGAGCCCGCATTGCTTCTATCATCCTGAACACCCCTGACCTACGGAAGGAGTGGTAAGAGGAAACCCCTAATGCTCACGGCAGTGAGATGTGAGGTCTCTTCGTGGCCACAATGTGCTGTGCTTACTGCCTGCTGCTGTCATGGGCAGCTCCTAGCTTCGGGGGTACAGTCAGAACCATGTGCCACCCCTTTCCTCTGGAGAAATCCCTGTTTGTGTCCTGGCATCAGCTGATACAGGTCCAGCCTGACACAAACCAGTTTCCCTTGTGTTACCAAGGCAGAAAACACTGCAAAGGAGGGGATAAAGCTCCCCTAGGATTGAGGGCTGCAGGAGCTGCCCGTCCAAGGGGCGGAAAAGACCAGCTGAGGCGTTGTAGCCACCTAGGATGTCTCACATGGGGGAAGTGGAAGCGTAAGCCCCCTGGGAATAAGACCCAGGAATGTAACCCTCATGCCCTAAGCCTGCTTCCTGGCGTCAGCCTGTGTTGTTCTCCCAGCCCCTCCGTGTGCAGTCCCTGCCGGCAGCTGGCCTGCCAGAACAAAGGCTGGCAGTGTGCTGTGGCTTCGCTGGGAGCTGTGTTCCTCTGGCACGCTGATGCTTGTGCCTGATCCAGAGCCCAGCAGAGATGTCTCCTAGCTGCACTGCCTTGGAGCAGGGGATGTCTGCCTGTTCTGGGAGGTACCCCTGCACTCTTTGTTCCATCTGCAGATATTATTTTATCCGGGTTTGGGCAGTGCTGCCGTGAGGCCTCCTACTCACCCATGGCTTTCAGAAGTAAGAGGTGCCTATACTCTGGTAGTAGTGTCCGACAGCTATGGAATAAATAAATAGCAGTCACCTTCAGGTACCAGGAGAAAGAAGCAGCTCCCCAGCTGGAGCTACAGGTTCATGGTCCATGGTCTTTGCTCATCTGCATCCCCATATGAGGCCCTTTCAGGTGGAGAGTTGATTCCTGGTAGTTAACTGGGCAAGGAGGGGAGCAGCGTTGGTGTGTCCCAGCTCTGCTCTGAGAAGTTCCTGGGTTCGCTTCTCAGGCTCGTGGAGGTGAAGGGTATGGCCGACCGGATCATCAGCATGCGGACTCAGCTGGTGTCCAACCTCAAGAAAGAGGGATCCTCTCACAACTGGCAGCACATCACTGACCAGATCGGCATGTTCTGCTTCACGGGACTGAAGCCTGAGCAGGTAAACGCAGTTCCCGTGGTCTCAAGGTGTCGTTTGCTGGCCTTGTCAGTAAGATCTCGAGAGCAGGTGCCAAAATGAGCCCTCGTAAGCAGTTCTTCCTCCAGGAGGAACATCCTCCAAGCCTTCAGCACTGGAACATCACAGGGGCCCAGGTCTTGCTCTGTTCCCTGCTGTGCTTGCGGAGGTTGAAAGCAAACGTAGCCTGCTTATCTGTCAAAGGAAGCAGTCACTTGATGCTGCTCCAAGGTGACCTTAAAGGTCAGTTCAAGTGAGGTGACTCTCCCAGCTGAACGTCTGCAGTGTTTGTGTGTTGCCCAAGAGCCAAGCTTTGGTTTACCGGGTGCACTGCTGGCTCTTCAGTGGTGGGGTGCCACGTCTGCTGGCACCCACTTTGCTTTCAGTTCTGGCAAGCTGGGTAAATTTGCACTGTGCTAACAGACTAGAGGTTGGCCTGCAGTTTGAACTCTGCTTTTTCACCCCAGGTGGAGCGGCTGACCAAGGAGTTCTCCATCTATATGACAAAGGACGGACGAATCTCTGTGGCAGGGGTTACATCGAGCAATGTAGGTTATCTGGCTCATGCCATCCATCAAGTCACAAAGTAAAGGCAAAGGTGTGCCCTGGAGCTGGTGGCTTTCCCTTACCCACTGGTTGAAGATGGGGAGGGAAAGGAAACAAGCAGAATACTTCCAACCACAGCACTTGACGCCGCTGCTGAATGTATCTTGTAGATGAGTTGTTGTAGAAGCCTAGTCAAAACTGCCCTGCGTTGTGGAGCAGGGACATCGTTGCCGGATCCTGCTTGTCACAGCCGTCTTCCCCTGCTGTCCATCCTTTGTCCATCAGCCCCAGCACCCATCTGCGCTGGAGGAAGCAAACACTTAGCATTGCCTTCCTACCAGTGCAGGCACCAAAGGCCTCCCCACACTGCTTTCTCCATGAGAAGACTTTGTGAGGCTGTTGGCCGCTGGCCCAAGCGGCAGCGGGCGCGGAGCTGGGGGGGCTGAGTGGGAGGGCTGCTCCGATGCGTTCCTTTGACCTCACCCAGTCCCTGCTTCCCGCAGGCTCCATCCATCCTCCTAGCCCGGGGCTGGGCAGTGCCAAAGCTGCCGTCCAACAACCAGCTCTGAGGACTTCTCGCTACTAAAATCTGCTCCATCGTTGGCTTTGCTTTTTCCATCTGGGAATCTCCTTTCAGGTGTAATTCACAGTGGCATTGGTATGTGGGGCAGATCAGTGTCCCTCCTCTAAACCTGGTTCTCCTGACCTCACTCCTGTACCCTGAGGTGAAACAATTTCTCACACACCCCCCTGCAATAAGAACCTTCTCCGACAACTGCTCTCTGTTGGTCTCTGCATCTCCCCGTTCCTCTACCAACCCCAGCAGCCCTCCCTGCAAAGCTGAGTCTTTGTGTGTGTCCCAAAGCCGTGAGCCCAGAGGTGGGCCCTGCTGTGTGCACCCTCACGTTGGGGGTTGTTGGTGTGCCCTTCTGATCTGATCTGTTCAGCCAAACTTCTGGTGACACCAGAAAACGGGAGGGAAAGATCCTGAGGGAAGTCGGAGAGCTGATGACTCAAAAAACATTCAGTCCTGAACTGAGTGTCCCTGAGGCCCTGTGACTCACGGGACCCTGGTTTTTTAATCCAAATAAAGTGGCACATGGCTGTATCGAGCTGGGGACTTCCTCCTGTCATCACATAGCTGGATCTTGTCCCTTCCATACACCAGATGTTCCCTCTCAGGGACCTGCCAGCCCAGAGGATCTTGTATGGCCAGTGCAACCCTCATCTCCTGAGAATCCCACGTAGAGAGGGGGCAGTTCCCACCCGTGTGCCCCAAGAGCACTGGGGTGTGTGAGCTGAGGCTGCCCGAGCTGGGAGTTGGTGTCGTGGAGCTGAAAGGGAAGGGTTGAACGTAGGTGTTGCTGGGGAGAGCACGAGTTCCCAAAGGCCATCTGCCCCGTGCTCGGTCACAGGAGCACGATGAAGTTTCTCCTTGCAGCAGGCAAAGGTGCCTTCCTAAGTGGACCTGGCGGGGATTACCTCTGAGTCTACGAGAGCTTTCTGCATCCACTGGCACCTTTCCCCTTTGCAGCTGTACCAGGGCATTTAGCAGAGCAGTCCTGGTTTCTCATTCCTGCCCAGAGGAGCCGTGTTGTCCTGGGAGCCTGGACGGGCCTGCGTAGCGCACGGTCTCACCGTGCTCGCCGGGCTGCTTGCGCAGTCCGAGGAAGGCTGGAGCCTTCAGCTGCTCCCCAACAGATGGTTTGCGCTTGAAGGGTGATGATTGTTTACACGGCCCGATGCCCGCAGCCACCGCTTGTTCCCATTTGTGCAATAAACTGCTTTTTGCGCTCACGGGTGCTGCCCTATGGCGCTGTGGGGTTTTGGCGCTGCGGTTCCCCATCCTGCGGGATTTCTGGTTGCGGAGAGCCAA